ACTTATACAGTTTATTGATGGGTTGAATGGATATCAAAGAAAATTACAGTAACAAGAAGATATAACATAATGGGAGATAAGGTTGGTGCACTTATACAGTTTATTGATGGGTTGAATGGATATCAAAGAAAATTACAGTAACAAGAAGATATAACATAATGGGAGATAAGGTTGGTGCACTTATACAGTTTATTGACGGGTTAAATGGATATCAAAGAAAATTACAGTAACAAGAAGATATAACATAATGGGAGATAAGGTCGGTGCACTTATACAGTTTATTGACGGGTTAAATGGAGAACAAAGAAAACTACAGGAACAAAAAGATATAAGATAATGGGAGATAAGGTAGGTGCACTTATACAGTTTATTGATGGGTTGAATGGATATCAAACAAAACTACAGTAACAAGAAGGTATAAGATAATGGGAGATAAGGTAGGTGCACTTATACAGTTTATTGACGGGTTGAATGGATAACAAAGAAAACTACAGTAACAAGAAGATATAAGATAAGGTAGGTGCACTTATACAGTTTATTGACGGGTTGAATGGATAACAAAGAAAACTACAGTAATAAATGTGCAATGTTTGGAGAAGGTTTTGTCATCATTAGGTAGAAGTAGGTTATCTAGACACAGGAATATATACATATTACAGAACAAAGGAAAGAAGTGACGTAACCAGAGGTTGGTTAAGATTTAATAAAAGTATCTTGTTGATGTTTGATTATTTGTTTAAAAGTATAGTTTTTACTTTTTAATAGATGGTTTTATTGAGTTGCAGTGTTTGTAAACATGAGGTTTCTTTTATTATGTTCACCAAATAAAATTGTCATCCAATCAGACAAGTTAAGTTTACTATTTAATGACTATGGCAAGTGATTGCAAAATATTGTGATGACTCAAATCTGTTGAATATCATTTTTACATTTATCTTATTCAAACATTTGCCAAGTAGGAAATGTCCATAAAACTTTTAGGAATTTGCACAAAAAGTGATTGCTGTAGATGCATAAATGGAAATCATCAGAAGAGGAGGATTGTATGAATGGGTTGTAGGGGTATGGTGTATTAATCAGTTAATTAATTAGCAAATATCACTATTTACCCAGCTCTAGACTAGAAGGTACATGGTGGTCTGAAAAAAATAAACAAATTCATAAAATTAAAGTTTTCAATCGTAGTGAATTAAAATTGACCCAAAATCAAGATAAGCAAACAAAACATTTTTAATTATAAAATAAAGTAAATAAAACTTTTTATTAAATAAATATCAATTCTGAAATGTTTAAAAAATGTGTATAAAAGAATTACTTGTTTGTTATCCATAATCTTTTTAATTCAATGTTTTACCCTCGAGTGAGGATGCACTCATCCAGGTATGACATAATCTATCATACGTCATGATGAAGTGAAGGCTAACGAAGTTAACAGTTCTATGAAGAACAATTTCTACTGGGACTTGTTGGAGGAAGATCTAGAAATTTTGTTTACTGTTACGAATAAACTACAAGTGATGAAGTCAGAAGTGGAAGAGTTCATTAAAATGGTTGATTTATCAGAAAAATTTTTATATACGTTATGCAATAAACTTATAAAAATGCTTCATGGGGTTGATAAGAAAACTGAATAACCAACTTTGCACATTTACTGTAAAATTTAAGGGCGTTATATCTTTCAAATATATGAAAAATAAACAGTAGAATAATCCAGTAGTGAAAAGGTTCAATAGCATATTAGTTCTTTGTAGTATAAGTTACAATTTATGTATTACATTCTCTTCTGTAGAGTGTTGCTTCAGGAATGCTATTGTAGTATAAGTTACAATTTATGTATTACATTCTCTTCTGTAGAGTGTTGCTTCAGGAATGCTATTTGCTTTTGCTTATTATCTCCTTCGTCAGTATCGGATTATAGATGACAATAACCATAGCAACTTGTTTTCCCGAGGCCTTTCATTAACTGCAACATTAGTCTCAATCATTGGATTAGGAGTAAGTTTCTGCTTTTTTTTCATGTGTTTTGTTAAATTTAGTTTCAAAACTGTATTTGGAAAAGTTGAATTGTATGAAACAGTAAGTCATTTTTATGTTTAAAGAAAACAAGGTTTACATTAAAGTTGGTAAATTCATCAGTTTTTTGTGTAGTGTACTTGCTGTACACTAGACTGTGTGTGACACTATTTGATGAGGGTGACTAACACTAAGTATAAATAATGAGTGAAAGTAACGTGTAATACTGAACCATATAGATATGTTTAAAACCAATAAGATTACTCATTAAATGATGAAATTGTTGAAGTATAGACTTTTAAAATAAAAGTTAAAAATTATAATTTGTGAATATTTGGTCTAGTACAAAGATGTTAGATCATTGATTAACTTTCTACTTCCTGACTAGTTTTGTCATCTTCTTAGAAGTGTTGTTTTTACTGCAAACACATTGGTGAACAATGTTGAACGTCCTTATATGGGATAAAATAAAAAACAACAAGACTACTTCTAGCCTTTCATATCAATATTTTATATCCAAACTAATATTTTAGTTAATTACTGGCAGCTGTATTATAATCAGTGTTACAGATATGTATTTATTATTGAATCTTATGTTCCACCTAGATTATAAAGTAAGATTTGTGTCCAGTTTAAAGTGAAAGATGTATTTGTAGCTGTCCAAGCCATTCCATTTTCTTCTTCTTCTATATTTGTGTTTAATTTTGATCATTTATTACCATTAGATTTATGCAACATTTGCCTTCCTGTGTCGAAACAAACCAGAATGCAATGAGATTCATCCATATATTTCTTTTGTGCCAGTAAGTTTAAATTTTGTTCAGTTTGCTACTGTAATGTAACTTTCTCAAATAAATCTGGTATGGTGAAGTACAGGTTTTTAGTGAATTTTGTTCAGTTTGCTACTGTAATGTAACTTTCTCAAATAAATCTGGTATGGTGAAGTACAGGTTTTTAGTGAATTTCATAAGTGAAAAAAATTGTATTATCTAATTCTGCTCCAAAATAATATACTTTCCACTAAAAACTAGCACTGTACATAATTATAGTAGTTCCACTTTTACAGGCTTTTATTCCATTTCTGCATTTTATTTTTAACAAGCATTTTATAGCAATTTCTGGATAGTAGCTTGTTCAGAGTAGGAGATTTCAGTGAGTTACATTCAAAATTTAATTAAACTACTTTCTTATCATGATATATAAGTAAACTTGGCATAAAAAATAGCTCAGAATTTAAATTTTAACATTATTTAACATTTAAGTTCTTAATTTTATATTAAAAAAATCCTCAGATTTCCCTTAGTGTGAGAATCGTGACATAGATATCCCCTCTTCTTGACAGAAGTATGAAATTTAATGTAAATTACTCATCATAATGTTGTCATCTGAAACATTATTCCCACAAGAAATGCATTGATGAGCTTAGCTGAATTTTTAACAGCTCTTGTCGCATAGTTAGAAAGCCAGAAAAATAACACATTGATGAGCTTAGCTGAATTTTTAACGGCTCTTGTCGCATAGTTAGAAAGCCAGAAAAATAACACATTGATGAGCTTAGCTGAATTTTTAATGGCTCTTGTCGCATAGTTAGAAAGCCAGAAAAATAACACATTGATGAGCTTAGCTGAATTTTTAACAGCTCTTGTCGCATAGTTAGAAAGCCAGAAAAATAACACATTGATGAGCTTAGCTGAATTTTTAACGGCTCTTGTCGCATAGTTAGAAAGCCAGAAAAATAATACATTGATGAGCTTAGCTGAATTTTTAACAGCTCTTGTCGCATAGTTAGAAAAATTGTGATAGTTATGGGACGTTATCTGTTTTTTGCACGGTGATATTTGGTGCAATACTTAATTAAATAAAAAATATTTAGCACCATTAGAATACAAAAGTATGGTTAAGTGTTGTCTAGCCAGTTAAGGACTATATTTCTTGTTTTTCATGTGTATTCTTTATTCATTATTATGTAAGTAACTAAAATGTAAAAATTGGAAACATTCCAGGTTAGATTAGGTAAAACAAAGAATAGTAATAGTTGTTCAAGAGGTATATTTGTGAGTAGCTCATGTGTAAAGTTAATCGATAGGATAACACGAGCTCTATGTTTGCCAATTGATTTTCAAATTTTATGGCAGGAATATTAACTTCAACATGGTTCAAAGACAATAAAATTTATGTATAAACAGACATATAAACAAATGTAGTTTCATGTTACCACTTGAAATCATTCTAGAAAGAAAGAAAAGGGATAACTTATATTAATTTTAAATTTTTCTTTAAGGATATGAGGTTAGTAAAATTGACCAACCATATATATAATATTAGGCTACAAAAAAAGTTTTACTGAAAAATAACATTTTATTATTACTTAGGAAGTTTTAGAGATATACAAATGAAATTTTAAAATGTTTAGATGAATAAAAGTATTTTTCTCCTTAACATGAAAATCATTTTGCACTCGGACTAGTAAACAAACTACTCAGTATTTTCACAGACAAATCTTTATTAATAAAACTTAATAAAAAAATCTGACATTTTATGTTCAAGAGTGTTGTAATGTTTACTGAAAGTTTGTCAAATTTTGTGAAGATACACGTACGGTATTAAAAATTATAGTATGGAAACTATAACAAGTACAAAATGTTGTAATGTTTACTGAAAGTTTGTCAAATTTTGTGAAGATACACATACGGTATTAAAAGTTATAGTATGGAAACTATAACAAGTACAAAATGTTGTAATGTTTACTGAAAGTTTGTCAAATTTTGTGAAGATACACATACGGTATTAAAAGTTATAGTATGGAAACTATAACAAGTACAAAATGTTGTAATGTTTACTGAAAGTTTGTCAAATTTTGTGAAGATACACATACTGTATTAAAAGTTATAGTATGGAAACTATAACAAGTACAAAATGTTGTAATGTTTACTGAAAGTTTGTCAAATTTTGTGAAGATACACATACTGTATTAAAAATTATAGTATGGAAACTGTAACAAGTACAAAATGGTTACGAACTCTGTCAATTCGACTGAGTTCATGTGGAAAGGGTTAAAAATTTTGTTCTTTATCATTGCCATGCATATCAAAAAATTTACATAGGGTTTCCTTATATTGTACAAACAGTATTTGCAAAGTCTGCTCATAATTGGTTCTGTCTTTCATGAAACAAAAGTATTAGACTTAACATGTTTTTAAGCACTGCATTCTCGGTTTGATTTATTAAGGGTTTTTTGAGAAGAATTTATAATAGTGGTTCACCCACATTGTATCTGAAACATTCATTGCTGGCAGACAACAAACATAGTAGTGGTCCAAATGTGATTTATGTAAGCTATTTGTTATACTTGTTTGGATGTTTTTTCTTCTGTGACCGTCCTAGTTTGTACTTAACAAGATTTAATAATCTTCTGAACTAAAGGATAAATTGTGTCATATGAAGAGTGCCCATGAATCTAATTTTGCCCATTTTTTTTTATTAATTCGTATCTTATTTCATAAACAGATATTATCCTTCATTGTTCTTCGCAACATTAGTGGACTTTTACGAACTCGATATAGCACATTCTTTGCTTGGTTTGGTAAAATCTCTTTAGAGGTAAGTTCTCATCAAAATAATTAAATTTAATTTTCACTGGCCTATAAAGCAATTTGATTTAAGCTAATTTGTTTTAAAGTTAAAATTATGTATTGTTTATTCTGATGATGTCTGTTATTTATTACAAGAATTGTAATAAGAATTTCTTATTTTGTTTTCAGCTATTTATAGCCCAGTATCACATTTGGTTAGCAGCAGACACTCATGGTGTGTTAGTTCTTGTGCCTAGTTATCCAGTACTGAATGTGATCATTACATCCTTCATATTTGTATGTATTGCTCATGAGGTGCACCATATCACTCGTATCCTTGTAAAATATGCCATTCCAAGTGACTGGCGTTATCTTGTGAGAAATGTAGTGATCTTCTTTTTGATTTTAGTACCTATTGGATTTCATGATGGAATGTTTTAAAGGAAAAACAAAAAGTGCCCTGTCTTTAATGTGTGTTTTTAAAGCTGCTATCTCATGTTGTGAAAAACAAAGTTTCTGTAATAATATTAATGCTAAACACTTAAAGAGAAAAACATGTAAATGTTTGAATTCTTATATATTTTGTTTGGAATATCCTGGTAAAGATTCTTCAATACATTACTGCCTTATAATATTTGGTTTTTAACATCTACTGGTACTTAACTAAAGATAATTATTAAAATACTGGACTCTTTTTCCATGCTAGAATCCTTTAAATAGAAATATTATGGATTATACTCTCTGAGTGTTTATAAATCATGGAGGATGTTTATTGAAAAATAACTCGAAACAGTTTTCTCAAGGTTTTTAATCACATAGGGCAAGATTTTTGGTCCTAATAAAGGTTGAAATTTTTAAGTTCGTAACTTGGTATAAGTCACAAAACACCCCTGACCAAAATAAATGTATTTGTTTGCTAACATTAGACATAGTGTTTAATGAAAGTGTTTCAAAAACACTCAAGTGCTCAAAACTTAGCTAAGTTCCTTTGGGTTTTAAAAGGAAGAATCCATGACCAGGGATTGGTCAAGTACTTTGGAAATGTACTTAAGTACAAGTACAAATATGTGGAATATCTTTAAGTAAAGTACAAGTACTCATTATGAAGAGCGAGTGCAAGTACTTTTATATTATTGATTTTATATGTATAATTAGTATTTCACTAAACGCCATCTTCTGATCTAGCTTGAGCTTGGGTTACAGACAGTATTTCTTGCATATAGAGTAGTGGAGTTTGATCTTATTTTTTTTGACGTTAAGTTTACTTTCAACCACACATTAGCAATCAGCATAATATATAAAATACTGCACAAATATAATACTTCTGATCATTATGTCTTAAGAGTATTATATTCATGTATACAATTCCTAGTAGCCAAAAGATTTTAAAAAACAATTATGGTATGTCAGAAAATAAAAAAGTAGTAACTAAATAAATGTTTTATTTTTTAATCCATGTATGCAGCACTAGTTATGCACAAATAATGAAGCTTTTAAAAAATCATAATCACAGACAGATAATATGACCCAGGTCACACAAAAATTCAGTAAGTGTCTTGCATATACTGGCCAAGTCCTGACACAGTATATAGTCGTTCCTGCAAAGCATGAGTTTCTTGGTGTGGTGTATTCTTGTGTGGTTGTCCTTAAAGGTGCTGCATCACCAAGGTCTGTACAGCTTTCTGCTCGCCCTGGATGACAAGAATAGACTTCAGTATGGAAGGCTGTTGATGTCCAACCAAGTGGAAATACTTGTTGTTCCATCCCTCGGAAATATTGTTTGTTCAGTGGTTACTTTATGGGATAATGTTGTGAACATTCCAGGATGAAGGTGGAAAAGCAAGGGCTGTGCATCTGATATGAACAATATTTTTGAGTGCATTCATCTGTTGGTAGCGTCTTTTAACATAATTGGAATCAAAGTATTCAAAGAGTGGAGTGGTTTCATGAGGTACAACAGTCTTCAGCAACTCAATCTATTGGGAGGAAGGCAAGCATGGTAAAGCTCCATTAGACTCAAGTCTTGTACTATTCGCCAGGTGTTTTGTGTTAAGTGATAGAAGCAAAAGTGAATATTTAGCTCTGCTCCAAGCACGCTGATCAGAGCATTTTTCATGGACAGGTCGAAGTCAGTGGAGATGGGTATTGGGTCAGCATCATCACCTATAGAAGCACATATGTTGACAATAGCTTGAAGCAGCTCCTCATAAATGTCTTGTGTTTTCTGTTGCAGGAGTGCATAGACTAATGGTAAAGTGGTGTCACCTAGAGGTACAGCTGCATGAAGTGTGGAAGTGCCATCCATGAACCATGTGTCATTCTCGGCTAGTAAATGCAGGTTATCTGTAGAAAATGCAATTATCCTTATGTCACTTGATTCATTGCCATAAAACAAGAAGGTTTGATGATTAAAGTCTGTAGTGTTGAATCTTTTCTGTTTAGCATAGTTGGTTGCTCTGGGAATTCCTTGATGCAATTTCGTCTAATTGTGTGTTTGCATGCTTCAGAGAAGGGAAGAATGGCTTTTGCTTCATTGGATATTTTTGAAAGTTGTTCATTGTATATGACACTTTGGTGATCAGCACTTGTGGAAGACCGGTTTTTCATAGCATCACGACACTTGCTGACTTCTGTGAATTTCATGATATTGCAGGAAATGATTGGTAGCTTTGCCTTCTATTTTATAAAAAACGTGACTTACAATACTCTTTTCAGGATTTAGTCTGTATGAGGCTCTCTCTTTCAAATATGTTATGAATCAACAAGTTCTTCCTTTAAGTATGTTGCAAAGTTTTAAATTTACTCCGTTATATGAACTGTGTATATCTAGGCCTATTTTATTAACAGTTTAAATCAACTTCATTATATGATCTGTATATATATCTAGGCCTAATAATATATTACCAGTTTAATTTACTTCATTATAGGATTGCATATAAAAACTATTGGCTATCGTTGGATCCAGCAGGGTTCCCATTTATCTGGTCGTAAATGACATCATTAAGGAAGAAACAGTTTAGTTTTCATGCTATCATGAATGTCCACATGAATTCAAATCTGTCCTTACTCCATTATATGAACTGTATATATCTAGGCCTACTAAATTACCAGTTTAATTTACTCCATTATATGACCTGTATATATCTAGGCCTACTAAATTACCAGTTTAATTTACTCCATTATATGACCTGTATATATCTAGGCCTACTAAATTACCAGTTTAATTTACTCCATTATATGAACTGTATATATCTAGGCCTACTAAATTACCAGTTTAATTTACTCCATTATATGAACTGTATATATCTAGGCCTACTAAATTACCAGTTTAATTTACTCCATTATATGAACTGTATATATCTAGGCCTATTTTATTAACATTTCAAATCTACTCCATTATTTCACCTATGTAGATCTAAGTTTAATTTATTCCATTATATCACCTGCATAGTAACCAGACAACTAGGCTATGTACAATTAGACAGATATGTTGCAACTCAGCAAATTCTACCTTTAAGTATTTTGCAAAGCTTTAAAAGTTTTAACACCCCTCTAAAACTATTAGGTGTCTAAATGTCCTACTTCATAATTTTTTTAGGTGTGTAATTGTCAGGAGTCTAGTTGTCTGGTTACCAGTATAGCAGTATTGTCTGGACCTAACACAGCAGAGGCCATTGTGGTCGAGAGCAAGAGTAGTTTGATGCTTCTTGTCTATCCCGAGCAAAATCAACAGGGGTTCTCTTGACCACTGACTACACACTAATGAAGTTTAAAGAGCATACTTTTTTAGGTGTGTAATTGTCAGGAGTCTAGTTGTTTGGTTACCAGTATAGCAGTATTGTCTGGACCTAACACAGCAGAGTGTTGGTAGGCCATTGTGGTTGAGAGCAAGAGTAGTTTGATGCTTCTTGTCTATCCCGAGCAAAATCAACAGGGGTTCTCTTGACCACTGACTACACACTATTGAAGTTTAAAGGTCATAATTTTTAGGATGTACTTGTAAATGTACTTTGATAGTTGAGTAAAGTACAAGTACAGTACTTGATGTACTTAAGTACACAATTACTCGAGTACTTGACCCCATGCCTGTCCATGACCAGGTTTCTAACATCAATACTAGAGTCTGATAACAAAAAGTTTTTGTTGTTTCTAGTTATTATTATTATTTCAAAAACCATTGTTTAATGGCAATACCATTGATGATGTTATAACTGACATGTGTAGTAGTGCTAGTGGTATGAATTCATAGTATAAAGCATTAGTAAGAATTTCAGGATAGTTAGGTAGTGCGATATATCACTCATTCTGAACACACGTGGTTCATTTTCTTAGATAGTTCTTAATACTTGTAGAGTATATTATATAACAATTCATTAAGTTGAATGTAGTTTTCAATATAACCCATTCGTGATCAGATAAACTCTAGCTGCTTATCCATATTGTTGTGTAAAAGCTGTTAAGGATGGTTCGTGCTGTCTTATAACTTTTATAAGAAATAACAGAACTCAACAAACAAATAAAAGAACTGCATAATGTTTGTGTTTTAGATATTCAAGAAGGCATGCCATTTCAAAATTTCTTAGAAAAAACAAGTCAGTGGCACTTGATATTACACATTTTCCCTGGGAGAGAGTAAAAAACTCCCAGCATTAAAGTTTGTCAAATTTTAGAATAATAATTTTTAGTTCACAGGAAACTTGAATTTTGAGAATATCTTTGTATATCAAATTTGTAACTTAGTATGCACTTCTCTTAAATTTGCATTTTGTAGATTGTTTAATTTTTATACAGATAGACAGGATGTTGTCGTAGTTGTTAATAGCTATAGATTCTTATGTATATTTAGAAAAATGTGACTTGTATATTGTTTCCAGTAGTCATTCATCAGGTTTCTTTTTGGTAATTTTTAGAGGCTTTCAGAGCCAAAAATTTTTCTCAATGGAGTTTTTTTTTCAAAAAATTTCAGTTTTAGGGGAATTTTTAAGTCTTTGGAAAAAGTCTTCAAAGAAATGTCAAAGACCCAGCTTTAAAACAGTGCAAAAATTAGCCTTTTCAAGGGATTTTTTACAAATTAAAAGAAATAATTTGCTTTGCTTCTCTGTTAACATTTATTTCAAATAAATTTTCATAACTTTAATATAGAACTCTGACAAAATTCAAATATCAAGAAACAACACATAAATCTTAAGATCAGTTATCACTTGTTGAACTTTCAGAATCACTGGCAGTGGGAACATCTTCCAAATGCATTTCAACATTATCATCTGAGTCTTCATTGCTTCATTTGAAATGGGTATTCTTCTTTTCTTCCATAAGTTTCTTAAAAGTATCATCATAATTCAAATCATTGAGGGAAATGTGCGTCAAGTAATCCAACTGCTGGAAGGTTTTATTATTATTCATAAAGTTACTGCTGTAATAGATAAGTAACTATAGAAAACAAAAAATACACAATAATTATCCATATGCTAAAACAAACATAGAGTAATTAGAATTTACATAATTGTACATTTTTATTTTAAATAACTTGGTACTGAAAGTTAACCAATCATCTAATGGAATTCTATTTAGAACAATCATAGCCAAGTAAAAAAAGTACTTGAAGCTCAAAACGGAATTACTTCATGGACATATGTAAAGTTTTTTTTGCCGAAAGGAATACAAACTTTCTCTGGAGAGAGTTAACAAGTTCATATCAGGATTAAATAATGTAATATTCTTTGCACTACAAATGAATCGGTAAACACAGGCTTGATAAATTGTCAAAACTCCATATTCTTTATATTTGCTGGTCACAGATGCTCTATATGGAAGACCAACTCTTTTAATAACCAGATGGGTCTTAATGCATAGAAATTTGTACTTATTCTATAGAAGATGACATGAAGTGGAAGCACTTTCTTACTCTCCGATACTCATACATACATTCATAC